GCATATTAAAAAGTATTTTATCGAGATAACTTAGGGTTCAGAGTTAAAAACACCACGAATTAACAGAAACAAAGCAATTTTATCTGTTTTTATGCTTCCATGTGCGACCATGTTTTAAAATTATAACTAAAAAGATTCGTTATTTTCATAAAAAATGGACGTAATAAGGAGGATCCAATTTTAGCATTTAAACGTTACACTGGGTGTACTCATCTCCCTAAAAACTTTAACTTAGGTACCTCCACGAGATCGCTAAAAAAAGAGCATCCATAGCATGATGAAAAAGACGCCAAACTTTACGAAAACAAAATTATGTTTGTTATTATTAAGAGGAAAAATCAAAGTATTTTGGGGGTATTTTTTTACATTTTTTAATCGTTCCTAGCACGTCCGAAATTTTCGTTAAAAAATCTTTTTTTTTTTTTTTTTTTTTGAGTCAACAAAATTGACAGATTTTAACCATTTTTTCCATTTTTTATAAAAAAAAATGAAAATCTCAATTTGAAATTCTTTTAAATATCAATTATCATTTTTACAAAACTTATTTTAAGAAAATCAAAAATTATAATGTTTATTTAAAATATTTTGAACAAAGCTTAACTTAGCTTCTGCGCCAAAAAGATGTAATTTGAAAATAAAAAAAGCAGGTCATAAACTTTCGCGTCACTTGACAGGTGATGAATGACATATTGACGTATTCCATGAGGATAATTTGTTCTACAGAAGGAGAAAAGTGAAATTATTTACCTCATTATTTTTAAGGAAAACTTTCAGCACTCTAATTTTTTTTTTTTTTTTTGTACTTAGCTTTCACCTTTTACGTTTACGATGCTTTTTTTTTTTGCTTTCAGAAAATATTGTCCATATTCATAAAAACAACTAAAAGCAAATAAAAGTATTTGGAATTAAATAATATATTTGTTTTATTGAGTTTTACTTTTGTATGTTACAATTCAGAGCTGATTTTCAGGTAGGGGGGATCCAATTAAAAAAAAAAAAAAAAAAACATGATTTGCATTCCTCAAAGCCTTGTGTTTTTAACTATTGTCATCACTAAACCTGACACGATCGAATTTCTAGCGTTTTCATAAAATTAGTTATGGGGGTGGAGTAATAAATTTTAAAAAATATTTCTGCCATGACTTTAATAAAAAAAAAAAAAAAACATATTTATAAATAATAATTTCCATCATCTGTGGATAGTTTCTGAAATTTTCATTAACATCCGACAATTATTTTTATTCCAGTGATACAAAGAGAAACAAGGTTTTTTTAATCAAAATTTAGAATGTTCCAAAAAGAAGGAAAAATTTTTAAAAAATAATTAAAATAAACTTTGATCTTTCCTCTTAATAACAACATAAGCATTTAGACGATAAAATTTTGTTTTTGTCAAGTTTGGCATCTTTTTCATCATGCTATGCTCTTTTTTAGCGATCTCATGGAGGTACCTACCTGTTTAATTTTTTTTTTTTTTTTTAGCGATCACATGGAGGTACCTACAACTGTTTAATTTTCTAAAAAAAATTTTTTTTTTTTTTTTTTTTTTTTTAAATAAAAAAAAAAAGATAAAAACCTAGGTACATCCAAAAAATAGCGATACCCAAGTTTGAAAAATGATAAATCCTTCTTGAGGCTTTTATTTTAGTTTAATTCAAAGCTAGGGCAATCTTTAATCTTCGTGCCTGCAAAAAAAAAGATGTCAAAAGTATGTTTTTTTTTTTGTTTGTTTTTTGTTTTTTTGTTTTTTTTTTTTGTTTGTTTTTTGTTTTTTTTTGTTTTTTTTGTTTGTTTTTTTTTTTTTTGACACCGCTATTATTTTTTTGTACTACCTACAATCCTTTGACAATGTTTATTTACAAATAATATGTGAACCAAATACTATGCGATATTTATTATTTGCTTTTTATAAAGATTTATTATTTACTATTTTATAAAGAAATCTTATTCAAAATTTTTTACAAAATTATCAAAATATATAAAAACCATCTACAATGCAATAGTTATTATTTACCATTTTAAATGACTTTAAAAACAAGTTTTATTCATAATTTTATGAAAACATTGCATTGTATTAATTAGTTGGTTCACATTTTTAGGATGTTGTAAATGTTAAATTATTGTAAATAAACAATCAAATAAATAAATAGCGTTTATAACTTTTGTTGTAAATTCTCAAAGAACAAAAATATATAAATTCACTTTCATATGTTTGGATTTTATTAAAATTCTAATCATTGTTTTTTTAAAACAATCAGCATTGCCATAAATTATTCTCATTTAAATTTAAAAAAAGAATTATAAACATTATTCATCAAAAAGAATTTTTTCTTAAGGCAATAGTGTCCATAATATATTTTATTCATAAAAACTTTTTTAATTAAAAAATAGTCTTAGTTTTCAAAAAAAAGAAATGTTTCAAAAATAATTTAATTCTGAATAAGCCCTGAAAGTTTCATTAAAATTCAACAACTATCTGATTTTTGCAAGAATTTCTAAATCAATGTTTTTCACTGCAAAATCATACCCAAATTACTTGTACAAATTTATGCTTCTGTGTTGTTGTCAGAAAAAAGATTCTTTTAACGAAAAAGGTCCAATGTTCTCAAAAGGATTAAAAGCAATAATTTTGACAAAAATTCCTTTGAAAAAAAAATTTGTTTTTGTTTTAGGCATTTTTTCCATTATGTATCCTCTTTTTTTAGAAATTTTTGGTGGTAACTAATAAAAACACATAAATGTATCTTACTATAAAACAGACACTTTAATTTCAGCTAATCTTTACTTTAAGCATCCCAAAATATTGTATCATAGGTATTTTGGGTATTCTTAAATTTGGCATTTGAATCAATTTTTACATACTGAATTAACTCCTTTAGATTGTTTTACCTTGCTTCATATTCTGAACACACATTTTTTTTCTATGAATAAAAATTGAAATCTAATACAAGATGTGTGACCAATAAAACTTACTTTGTAAAATAAAATAGTCAAATATAACTACTTTGTATCTGAAATGTCTTGTATTAGAAATAAAACAAAAAATATCATCCTAAATTCAATTTATAATTTATTTCAACTATAAATTTAATTCATATAAGATGAATGTGGTGGCCAATCAACTGACAGAAGCCTAAAAATGTCCTTGTTTAGACTTATGATAATATTTTCTCTCTACATTCATAAGAATGACAACAATTCTTGGCTACTTAGGACTTTGGTTACATAGATCCTTTTTGTTGCTTTTCCACAGAGATTTTGTACTTTGAATATATATATTTGTATCCTGTGGCTCCAGAAAAATATTCCCTGATTAATAATGTAGGAGTGACCACTACTAAGTTGCTTTAATTCCCATATGCAACACATCTCCCCACTATAACTTTAATTCCTGGAGCAATGTCTTGCTTAATAATTTGTTTCATATGTCAGCAGATCAATCTGGAATAGGGATCATTCCTATTTGAAATTTACTCACATTAGTTCCACATAGTTAAACAAAAATTTCATTGGCATATGTAATAAAAATGTGTAAAGTACTATATAACTAGATAATTCATCAGATTTAGTAGAACCTATCTATCTTCTTGGTTTAATTTCCCACTAAAAAGCCTTGTAATAGCCACTAAGACAATACCTATATACCTCTTTGGAGTCCCTGTGAAAATTGACCCTTCATTTGTCACTTCCTTAAAAATGTTCCATGTGGTTTGTATATTGTCCTGTTAACAGTACAGAATTACAGAATCAAGGTTTTGCTGTTTTTTGTTTTTTTACTAAGCATTGTTGGAAAGGAACTTTGGTGGTTTACTTCTTTTTTTAAATCTTGAAACTGTTTTAAAATATTGTTTACATTTATCAAAATACAACTGAAATCGATTTTTACAAAATCTCCCCCTCATAAGTATAAGGGATCTGGAAAAGTTCATAAAATAAAATATGACCAACATCAGATATTTTTTTTTAATCTTTTCTTGGTTGAGCCAGCCCCTCCTCCCACCACATGGCTCTTATAGAGATTTGATTTGAAGAAAATTATTTAATTTAAATATTTATGTGAAATTTTTAAAAATATTACTTAATATAAAACATAGGGGGAAAATTCATTCATTTATGGGGAAGGTTCCTGTCAAGTCAGTTCAAAAGGTCAAGTGATTGTTATGTTACCTTTTCCTGTTGTCAGTTCAAGTATGGCAAACCAAACTTAACAGCAACAAAAATAAAGAGTGAACCTGTTAACAAACTTGTCAAGAGGAGTAACACATCTTGGTACAGTGAGAGATAAGCAAATGCTTAAACTGGTTGACTGGAAGTTAATACTTAACATTCCTTTCATTCATATTAATTGCAAAACATCAGACTATTTAAAAATAAAATAAATTATTAATATTTTCTAAAGAACATCTATATTTCTTAATTATTAAAATATATCTTTTAAACAATTTTTTTTTTATTTGTTAGAGATTTAAATAAGAAATTAAAAGCAATTAAAGTGTTTATAAACAAAACGGTATTTTAATTTTATTGCCATTTTTATTTTCTGATTCATACTTTTATATCTTCAGAAATTTAAATGAGATTTCAACTGATTTAATTTCTAGTCTAATGCAAATATATGTATTTTTGAAAATATGAAATCTATAAAAAATATTTGATATTTTTATAGAGATTTCATAAAATGAAATAATTTAATTTGATTGACTGAAAAACAAGCATTTCTATAAATATCTCTTCAATTTATTTCTAAATAAATATAAAGATTTTTATTGAAATCCAGCAAACTAATTTTTGGAAGAGTTGTAAAATCAATGTGTAGTTTGCCTAAAAATGTGACATGGTGAACAGTGTTTTTGTAAACAACTTTTCAAAGACAACTTTCTTGTTCTGAATATTTGAACACATAATTTTTATATCAAAATTATTTCCATTCATTCAAAGAATAAATGGCACAGTGATTATGACAATAACATAAATATAACATTTCAGGCATTTTTATCAACATGTTGTCAAAAAAGAGTGGATGTCTCAAAACAGTTTGAAATATATAAAACACTAATTTTCTCAAGTAAATACCTTTCAGACGTTTCATTTAAAAAATGATTTTGTCTAGATGATTAAATTATTGCTTAGTAAAATCAAACTTGTTAAAAAGTTTTTTTCCAATAACTTTTAGTTCAACATATTCTTTATCTCCAAGAGAATTATTAGAACTATGACAGTCTCTAATAGTCTATTTATTTGTTTATTTATTTAATATAACAATGTTTGAATTAAAATTTTATTAAATTTCTACTTTTGAACTCTGAAGAATATATTTTGATGTCCTTAATCCTTAAATTTGTTAATCACATGATCCTGTTGTTTCTGATAGTCTTTGTTTTTCTTTTCTTTATTACAATGTGTGTAAATTATCATCATGTTGATTTTTTTGTGTAAATAAACATTGGTAAAATTTAACAGGATTTCTAAAATATTAGTATGTTTGAATAACATTTTATTATCAAAAAGTGTAAGAAAGAAAGTAAGTGATGTGGATCCTTTTGTTACTGAACAACTAAAATGTACAATTTGTTTTAGGCATAGAGAATCAGCTGTAAATGAACCTCTGTCTTGAAAATAAGATTTAAAAATATCCTGACTAATAAACTTACACTTATTTTTACAATTAAAACTTTCAAATACATTTTTGCATATGATCTCAAACTTTTGAAATGCTGCTTACAACTAGATAAAAACAACTCAGATATTTCTATTAACAGCTACCTCTCCTTTTATTCACACCTGAAATCTGGCCGTCGGGGACAAAATCAGTGGTGACATTTCTTTTGCTGTATTTTTAGTTAGATTTTTGCTTCAAGAATCCTTCGCATAATATACTTGTTATAATCAAAGCTAAAACCATTTACTGTTTCAAAACTGCTGTTCTATTATTTTATTTTATTTTTTTTTAAAAGGATTTCCCACTTATCTTCTTTTTTATCTTGGAATGCATCATCAATATTATTCACAATATTTTTTTGTGTGTGTGTACACAAACACATGTATTTGAAATAGATGCCCAATTTTTATTTTAAGCAATGTGTATTATGTTTATTGTTCTGCACATTTTAGAAATTTTAAAGAAAATGTACTCTTTAGCAGGGATTGAACTTGTGTTCTCCTTTGTAGGAGAAACCAACATTTGATCAGGCATGCTTTACCACTCAGCTACAGAGAATGTCACAGTTCAGGAAGGTCAAATGATGGTTTCTCCTACAAAGAAGGACGCATGTTTGATTCCTGTGTGGAGAGCACATTTTCTTTATTAAGATGTGCAGGCTTATAGATGTAATAAGCACTGTTTAAAATAAAAATGGGGTGCCTATTTCAAATACATGTATCCACTAATAACAATTGTAGTAATAAAAAAAATGTTGGATTAAAAATAAATCCATTAATTCTTTATATATAATATATACAAAAACATCTGTTGGTGAGTAATTTCCATTTCTCTGTTTATTTCTCACTCATTGATGAAGGACACAGGCGTTCCTGAAAGTTCTGGACTTAAAACTTTTTTTTTTTTTCTCATGCTTCATTTCTGTCATATGGTTAATAATTAATAAATGTTTCTCATACTGATTATATTGGTACCCTTTTGTTTGTCCTTGTTTCATTAACTAACCTATCTATTTTATATATATATATATATATATACACACACACGCACAAAATCTAAAAGTCCATATCTATGAACATAAAAGGGATTTACATTTGGACAATCCTTTAAACTAACTCATAATACACAGAAACAGAACTGGCTATAACTTTGATTTTACAAATGCCACCCTAATTAAAAAAAAGAATGTAATTCTTTTCAAGAGATTACTAATAAAAATTTTACCAACTATAAACATGTTAAAAACATATTACATCACCATTCTTAAATGTATTGTTTAACTAAAACAAATGGTGTTTACATAAAAACATTCCTAAATTAACATGTGAAAAACCACCAAACATAATGTCTACTAAACACACACACACACACACACACACACACACACACAAATATACACTATCATCTGAATCCCACATACACAAACTAGAATTATTAGATACTTACATACATAAAGCAATCAGTTAGGCTTGGAATTTTTTAAATACTTGGAACATCAAAATGATGCATCATTTCTCCTTAAATTCAAAATGGCATAAATTATACAATTTTTGTCAAATGCATGTGAAACCAATGAAAATAAAACAATACAAAAATAAAAATAGCAGTATTTCTTTCTTTTCTCCATCTCATTCTCTGGTTAAGCTTTAATAAAATTGAAACATGTTAGATTGATGGACGTTTCCTTTTTGTTTTTCATATATATAAAATATGCTGTTGGGCTTCAAATAAATACTAAATCCATTTCAGAAATTTTTTCTTTAATACAGTAACATTATGAAGGTAATAGGACAAAATAGGCAAAAACAAAATTCTTTTCACACTTCACTTAATAGTCAATGGTAAAGCCTTTCTGGTTAATGCTTTCTATAATTAGTAACTAAACACCTAAAAATTCCTTTCAGCAAATTTGAAAGTTGTTTTGAATGCACCTTAACTTTAAGTTCGTGCTACAAATTTTCTATTGGCGTCAAGTCCAGACTTATTGCAGGCCAAAGTTAGACATTGATCTTGTTATACAATTTTTTTGCCAGTGCACTTGAGTATTCGAACCAGACAATTCAATTTTAAATCACATCATTCTATAAATTTTTTCCCTTGCAAATTCCAATAAAGCCTTGTAATGAGGACTTTCAAGCACTGGTGTTTTTTCTTGGTGGTTGCTACTGTGTACCGACATAACACATTTTAATTCATTGTTTGAACCCTAACCCTACAGTCACAAACTTTCTTTGCAATCTGAGAAATAGTTTAGATTTATAACCTTTTCAGTTGTGTTTCTCTCATGATACAATCAACTTAGGTACTGAAATCTGCTAAGCTGCTGTTCTAAAACTTATATCTGAATTGCAAACATTAACAATTCATTGTTTCAAATACAGGCAACTTTTTCACCATCTGTCATTGCAATAAACTTAAACTTTTAAAAATTCACAATTTTAAAGATATAGCCTGATAGACTACCTTGTCATAAGATGATGTAAATATAATGTATTTTATGAATTTCATAAATAATTAAAATAATTTTCAAGCATATGGATAATTTTGTCTTTGCATTTTTTTTTAATGCTATTGCATTGAATAAGTGAATTATATTTTTGAATGAGATTGATTGTGCCTTACTCTTTGTGTGTGTGTGTGTGTGTTGTTATTGTTTTTTAAAAGCAAATCAATAATGAGGATTTATCTTTGTTTCCCCAACAGGATTTGGATGATTTGGAAGCTCTGAGGCAAGCAGCACTTGCTTCTGTTAAATCAGTGAGTTGAGAATTTTCTTCTGCTTTTGAAAAAAGAAAAACCTTTTATTTTTTAAATTCTTGCTCAAGAGTAAAGTGATCCTGATTAGACCTTGCTTTAGTTGACTATAGCACTAACAGTACCCTATGCAGATAAGATAGTTATTAGAGAGTAGATTGTCCAAGTGCTCTCTGTCACTCTCCATCAACCATTGTCACAAGATATTCTGTTAAGGCATTTGGTGATTGAACAGAGCACAAGGAAAAGTGGATTCATGTCTTTGATTAATGCAAAGCTGGAATTTGAGTTCTGTTTCCTAATTTTGTTTCTTCTATTACCTTATGCCACCATGCACCTGCACACTGTTAGTACAATAGTTGATAAGTAAAATAGAAAGCTATAGTAGTTCTTTTCCATACTTTAAGATGTTGTTAGGCAATGCCTTGTTATCAGATTGAGAGGAGTTATTACTTGCCTACAGACATTAAGAATGAGTATACATATACACAAATAGGTGCCCACTTTCAAAGGAATTAGAAAAGGTGAATAGCTTCCCAGGCTACACAGCCTTAAAATGGAGCCAGAGGATAATTGTACTCTGTTAACAAAAGTAGCCCTTCATTGTCGATTTAAAAACAAATCCTTTTATAGCCAAATTTCATTGTCTCTCTTTTTCTCTGACTGACTATAACCTTTGGTGTAAGCCCAATACACTATACAGCTTAAATGAATACTTTATCCTGATTTATAACATGCAATAGATAACACTAAACTGAAGTAATATGATTTTGGACTATTTATTTTACCATTTATCCATTTTCAAGTTCAAATAACATTAATTTTACAATGCTTTTCACAAAAGCAATATTGCAGTAAAAAGAAAAAAAAAAGAGATAATGATAAGTCAAACTATCTTTTGTTCTTTTTTAAGTGCAAACACCAAAACTCACTTGTTTATCCTTGAAAATTACAGTAGTGTGTGCTTTGGTATAGTACTAAAATTTAGTTATGTGAATGAACTGAATACCTGTTTATATGGTAATTTGAAATCAGTAAATGAATAATAATCGGCAAAATATGTTCTTGACTTGGAAAATGAATATCAAAGAAAGTATTGTACTTGTAGTGTAGGCGTGTCAGTGGCTGATGAGGTCATTTATAGGATAGGCATCTTTGACTACTCTGGGAACAGGAAAAGGCTTGATAAATAGAAGTTGAATTTCTAATGAAATTCTGATTCTTTTAACTCTTCAATAATAAAAAGAGAGGAGAGACTAGAATATGTTATCACTTTTTGTTCACAGCTTTTGTTTACCCACCAATATCACAGTATTTGAATGTTATCTTAAGTAGTTCTCTGTATTGCTTACTTGGAGACAAGTCATTTCTCTTCTGCGTAACTTAGCATCTTAATTCTTCTGCAATGGTTTTATGACTATGACATATATTTCTGCTGTAAAATGACTCTTTAAAATATTTGATTTACAGATTAATTTTGCTTTGTCTTTATTTTGTAGAGAGCAAAGACTGAGCTTCTTCAACTGGAGAGTTCTCCTTCAAGCATCAAAGCAGATGAGGATGAAGATCTCTCAGCTCTTCGGGAGGCTGCTTTACGTTCAACCAAAGCACACACTACTGTAATTTTCAAGGATAAACAAGTGAGTTTTGGTGTTTGCACTTAAAAAAAGAACAAAAGATAGTTTGACTTATCATTATCTCTTTTTTTTTTCTTTTTACTGCAATATTGCTTTTGTGAAAAGCATTGTAAAATTAATGTTATTTGAACTTGATACACTTTGTAAAATTTATAAATTTTTTATCCATAAATATAGAGAGATGAGTTTAAAGGTTCTCTAAACATAAAATATGTTCAAAAACATCCAAAGTATTGTTTGCATGTGTGTGATAAAATATAATTTTAAGGTATGCTACATTTATGAGTAAAAGTACTTCATATCTGAGATAGAGCATATGTAAATATAAAAGTTGATACTGGGATCAACATCGAGTGTCAACAATCAGTTTCATGCTTGAACACAATCTTCAAGTCTGAATATTGTGTTTAAGCTTGAAACAGACTGTCACTACTTGGTGTTGAATTTAGTATCCACATAATCCTTATATATATATATGTATGTATGTATATAGATGCATAAGCATAAAAGTGTTTATATAAATATATTGTGTATTTTGTTTAGGAGTTTTCCTAATCTAATTGCTTATTTAAAAAATGACTTTGGGAATGGTTTCAAATCTGATGTATTCAGGATTTATAAAATAATAAAAAATAAAAACCTATGAATAAACATATAACATTTTTTATTATCTTTGCCCTAACTTACCAAATATTAACAACTGTGTTTAATTTTTCAAATGTTTTGCAGTTGCTCATCTCTTAACATTCCTGCATTTTATGTACACATTACTTCATTTGAAAACTACTTTCATTATTACTTTATGCTGTTTTTTTATTTATTTATTTAATTTTCAGGTTGCAAATTGTGACACTTATTCTAACCCTCCTCTTCCTCATCATCATCGTAATCGTCGTCATCAGAGACATCCCCAACGTCATTCTCATCAGCGACATCCCTATGATACAACTCAAAGAAATGGAAAGTGGAGAAAATACCACTATTCTCAGAATCGGGCTAACAATCTGATTGTTATCCCATTGGCACTGCAAGGTGAAAATACCAAGGGAGCAGGTTACAAACTACGCAAGGAACAAGAGCCAGGCAGTAATTTAAAATTGCCTGAGAACAAGAGTCTTCTCCTTTCTCAAGACAAATTGGCCGGAGTACAACAAAGTGCTTCTGAAACTATTTCTTCTGCTGCTGATAGAAACCCTAAGAAAAGTAAGTGACTGCTTTATCACTTTACATTTATGACATTATGCTCTGCTCTTTGGACATTTTATCACAGATAAATCTCGGCAATACTTGCATCTGAGGTTTGGTCTTTTCCTATTAAATTTAAGAAAGTCTTAAATTTTTATGCTTCAAATAAAGTCCTTAGTTTTGTAAGCATAACAAATGAATTTTAAACTCAGTTTTCTTTAATCACTGTGAAGAAATTATCTTTTTATTTTTTAATCATAAAGATTAATACATTTTTTTTGTCATTCTATAATCCTCCTTACAAAAACCAAACACCAATATATTACAAAAGTACTTCTATTGTAATTGACTACGTGTGTGGAAGGGTTTTTGTCTATTTTTGTTCATAAAATCTTTATGAAGCTTATTGTGTATTAAATTTTGAATTTCATCAAACACTACTTTATTTTGGATCCATACCATTTGCTTAACAGAATGTAAAATGATTTGAGTATTGAAAAAAAAATCAACTGAAATAAAATGAAAAAAAAAAATGTCCAAAGCTACAAATGAAAATACTTCATCTAAAAAATCAGAATTGTATATTGCATATTTGCACTTGTTGACTTTTCCTGTTTTTGATGCCAGTGTTACATATTTAAATTTCCAATTTTGGTGGATAGCATTAGATTTTCAGTAAAGTTCAGTAACCAACTTAATAAAATCACTTTAACTTGGAACCAAGGCAATTGATTCTGTTTTACTGACAGTATATAATATTTGCTTTTGAGTTTTTGAAGTTTGTACAAAACAACTACAAAAGTATGCTGAAAAGTTTTCAGTACAATCAAGAAGTGATTTCAAAATTCTGATATTTGATCATTTGGTAAGATTTTGGAAGTGTTACAGAAGCTCAGAACATTTCAGCACCCTCTCATATTCTTATGCCACTTTTGCTTTTAAGACGTCAAAATTACTTAAAATGTATTAAGTCCATAATATGTTGGGAGCAGCATTAAAAGAAAAGACATGTTGGGTAATGCAGAAAGTTTGTTCTTACAAGTAGACATTTGGTATTTTTGGAACCTTTCCTAAGTGATATGCACTATATCTAGTCTAAAAGTAGACAGTTTCAGGAAATCAGCACTCCTCTAACTTTATCATAACTCCAATTATTTGTCATGTTATGATCATTTAAAGTCAATCAAAACTCTCACACATTTAATAATTTACTTTTAGATGCTTATTTCTGGATAATTGCTTTTTTCTTTCTCTTTTTGCTAGGATCGTCATTGGAATCTTGTTGAAATGAATATTATAAATAATAGGTTTAACCTGACACTCTTTTTCAAAAATGACCTATATCAAGTGGATTTTTGCACCCTACAAGACAAAATTCAGTAAAAAATAAAACTGTTTTTGACCTGCTTTTTTGTCTCTGACCCTCACCAGCTTTGAATAATGCAAGCAAAAAATACCCAAGACAAAATTTTTTCTCCTTTGTGTAAGTTCCTAAATTTTAAAATGGTTTAAGTCTGCAAAATCTAATAAAATTGTTCTTATGAAGATATTTAAAATGTACTAAGTTCCTTGATTATTACCTGCTTTTGGCACCAAATATCAGTTTTTGACATAACTTCTCTTTTTATCAGAAAATGATTATCTAGACCTTTATTAATATGATTTTTGGCTGTGAAAACGCTGCAAAGCATTAAGTGCAAAACTTGAACTCTTGCAGATAAGGGTTTCTCAACCTAAAATCCTATTTTTTAATTAGGAATGTGAAATTTTTGTTTTAATCTTCTTCTTAAGTACAAATAACATTAATACATTTCCATAATTGAACTGAAAATCATTCAGGAGGTTCAATAAACACAAATGGACTTTTGACTCTATTGTGCATGACCACCATGTTCTGTGCTTGTTTTTTTGCATGGCATTAGGAGAATTTAGTTTTAATTCTTTCAAAATGTTTCCTTTTAATCATTGTATCATGATAGATCTCATGTCAGCATGCCTTCTTTAACAATATTGCTAAAATTAGCCTATTTTTGTTCATTGATTCAACATTGAAGGTGGAAGAAAATAAGCAACATTTTTGGCGTGTAATGTCTTCCTTTACTTTTTTTTTTTAAGTAAAGTAAAAATGTTGCTCTTAACAAATTCTGATAGGCAAGCGAAATCAATGACAACAAATTATACAGTCTTCATACAAGATAATGCTGTCTATATCACTGGAAGGGAATTCTGTACTATGAGTTCTTTCTAGGAAATCAAAATATTGATTCAGACATACTGCTTGTATTTCTAAAGGCAACAATGGATGACAATGGTAGATTTATTGGGTAACAATTTGTGCTGTAATTGTCAATAAATGGCATTAGGAGGAGTTATTTTAAGAAAGTTATTCAATAAAATGTAATATTAGTCAAACCATGTTGCTGAATATAGTACAAAACTTTGGATTAAATTAAAGAATTTTACTTAAAAACTGAACAGTGTTTTTAAATTACTTGTTATTAAAAAGATGCTCAAAATGCCTTTGAAATTATATAAATTATGTCTAAATATGTGAGTTTACTTCATGAAAAACAACCACTTCAGTTAACAATCCATTGGATATGCATATCAGTGACCTATATTGTCTTCATTAATGTTCATATTATTTACTTAATCTTTTCTTTTCAGGGAAAGATGGCAAATTCAGTCGTTATGATGACTCTGAAAGTGATGAAGATTCTGCCAGTGATTCAGACCTTTTGTCCCTGTCCAGTGAGTCACATCCCAAAGATACGTGTTCAGAGTCTGAAAACATAATGTCCAACCAACTAGATACACGAATTGTCAAACATGATGAGTCCATAGACATTGTCATCCAGAAAGCTGTCAGTGATAATTCAGAGTTTGAAGCTACAGGTGATAGTCTTGAAATACAGGACAAAATTTCTTCTGATAGCTTGCTGGAAGATTTTGACGAACCTTTGCTTGACATTCAGGAGAATGGGGAAATAGATGACACTGCGAATGTAGTGATGAACACCAGTGATAAACAAGTGACTGATGATGCTTTCTCAGTTGATCTCTTGCCCTCTGAGTCTCTTGACATGGAGTCAGAGTCTGCAGATAAAGAGTTACTTGAGGCTAGAAAGAAAAAGTTTGAATCAACTGAGGAGATCAAAGGTTCAGACTTAAAGAAAACTATTTCTCTCAAAGGCATTGTGCCTAAATCAAGAAAACGTCATCGGCAGCAGCACCACCATCGCAACCAACGAGAAGACAAATTATCACATTCCAGCCACAAGGAGGAATTGCATTCACAGGACCTGAAAGAGAGGAACTGTGATGAATTGGAAGATTTACATATGAAGACTTCCCGATCCAAGAATTACCAGCGACAACACAATAAATACAGTAGCGCATCATCAAGGAGTAGTGACGATAGCTGCCACAGTGGAAGTTTTTCTGACAGTGCAAGTCAACCAATACGGCTAAAAGATCACCCATATTACAACGTGGAAACTGGCATGAGTATCAGTAACCGTTTCAGTCAACCCATATCCTCATATGGAGAAAACCAACGCCGGGTTGTACATGAGAGATCTCCACACCGAAGTTCTAGCAAACATGCTAGATATGATCTTTCAGACCTCAGTGATTCTGGTGAAGACAATGAAAATAGTTTGTTCAAAAAACGAAGCCTCTCTAGTGTGGTGCGCACATCCCCAAATCCTAAAAGACAAAAATCTCGCAAAGTTTTGGACTCTGATCGACATGGTAATTGCCCTAAAGAGCACTGCTCCAGTGACTCAAAGGCAAAACATTCTTCCCAGCCACGTGGTTGGACGGCATTGATGGAAAGTCGATCCAAAAACTGGTTAACAAGTGATAAAGACTATGATTACCGTAGTAACTGTAACAATATGGATCTGGATGGACAGCTAGCTAAAAGCCCACAGATTAATTTTACTTTTGAAAATGGTAAGTTTACTGTTTGGATATATGAAGATTATATGTACTAAGTGGTCTCTCTCTGTATGTGTTTATGTAATTCAATTATGTTCTGACCAAGCCTGGTACAGATGAACCTCCCCAGTAATGCAACATTCTTTCAAGCAATAATTTCTTGTTTACACAGCCACAAATATTTATTTATTTATTTTTTTTGCCTTAAAATAATTGGGCAAACGTTGGTTTAAATTCTGCAAGTTTTAGAATGTTTTCTTGCAAATAGGATGGCCTGTTTTACAAATAAAATGGGGGAGGGGGGGGTCTTTCTTTATCCAAAATTGACCTCTGATGACCACCTACCTTAGCTTCATTTTCTGTTTAATTTGCCCTCAAGAATGTATGAGGGAGGTGCTGAAAATTTTTTTTTTTTCCCCCAACCAGGACCGAATTAAAATCTTTGGGGGGCCCCTAAGCTAAAGAACTTAGCCCACTAACTTGCCCTCACCCATCTTCAATTTTTTTTTTTACTTGTGATATATTTTAGCAACATTTACATAGCTTGAAGTAAATTTATTGCAAATTCTTTAAATAAACTGGAATATCTAACTTTTGTTTGTCAATAAAAATATTAAAGAAATACTTTTTTTTTTTTTTTATTTCAAACCAAATTAGCACATATTTCCGCACACCTGTAGTAAAAAAAAATATATATTTTTTTTATAACTAGCATCATAACAATAAAACAATCAAAATAAATATGGGTTTCTTATATTGATATCATTTCAGTTTATGAAACAAACTATTTAGAAGTTATAACATATAGAAAATTAAAATCATTACTTTATGCTTGAGGGGCTCTAGGTTGCAAGATAAACTGGCTCTGAACCAACCCACTTTTCAAAAGTTTACCAAATCAAATTTATTTTAAAATGTCTTCTTGGTCAGGCCTAAAACTTTTCAGCACTCTCTTGTAATGGATTAACTGCTGATTCTAAATGCCACAGGCTAATTCTATGTGAGGTTGAAAAATCACATCAAACTGATCGTGTCAATCTATTTGGCTAGAAATGGCATACTCTGATAGCCATTTAACATTTAATATTCTATCTTGTTATTTGAATCTTTTCAGTTACCCATGAAAGGAAAAAAGGTCTTTCTGTCTGACTCTGTGTGTGTTGTGTATGTATGTATGTGTGTGTGTGTGTGTGTGTGTATATATATATATATATATATATATATATATACACACACACAAAACAGATTTTTTGTAAGAAATTAGTTTTGTTCTAAACCAAGCCTACCAGGATTTTATTATTTCTACATTACACAATCAAAACAGATATTATTAGGTAACATTTGTGACCAAACTGTACAGCAGTGAAACTGTATCCAAAAATATGAATATGTTGCAGTGCCAAAAATAAACACACACACCTGCAAAAAAAAAGTTGTTTCAAATCAATATTTGGGGTAGCTGTCTTTTTTTTTAAACTACTGCTGTTTGCAGTCTTGGTGATCTTGATCTCCTTAGATTTGAATATTTTTCCTCTTGGACAGTATGCAATTTTAAAATTATTTTTCATTTTTTTTAATCAATTCACCCCAAGCAAGGCAATAATGCCACTAAGACACAAGGGGGCTACTGGGAGTCAAAGAAATTGAGAAGACTAGAAGGAACTGGAAACCCAATCCTAAACAAGAAACAAGGGATAAATCTCTACTCCTGTTCAAAAGTCCAAGGAGAAGTGTGAAATTCTATCTTGTTCAGACAGTCATCATTCTTCTACATTCTACTTAAGCACATTTCACAAGTTGCTCAGTTGGATTTCAGTCTACTGACATGCTAAGTCAATCAGATATTTTCACTTTTTGCTTCTTCAGAAACTGTTGTTTTCTTCGCAGAATGTTTTGGATCATTGTCATACTGAAACATTGCTCCCTTTCCCTAGTGTTTGTGTAAAGACAACATGTTTTCTTTCAGTGTTTTGATGTAATCTTCAACTTTCAAGATTCTATTGCTGAAATGCAGCTCACCAATGCCATCAGAGATCATTCGATCACAAAGCATGACATTTCAACCACTTATTTAACTTCATTAGCAACATCATTTTCTTGGATCTTTATCCACCAATCTCCAAATACAAGGAAAAGACCTTCAGGTCAGCTTGCATGGTTAACCTGATCATTTCTGTACATATTTGACTTGTCTACTTTTCTCCCAATTTTGCACAATTTTGGCAATAGTATTTCCAGTAGATATATTTTTAGTAGCTGTTCTTCTGTTTGTGCAAATAAATAATACATTCCTTAAATTCAATGGACAGTTCTTTTTCCTGTTGAGCCATTTTTTAAATAAACTATACACTGAAAACTATTTTAACATTGTGTACACTATTTATATTCAAATTTATTGAAATCCCCAAGAGAAAAATAGTTTTGTTTTTGTTTTTTTTAAATATATTTACCCTATAAAATAAAATAAATTGTTTTAACTGCTACATATTCATATTTTTGGTTATAAATTTTAAATTTAATAACCTAATAATATCAAATCCAAAAAAGCAGTACAAACCTGACATCATAATTAAATGCCAAACACTGGATTTAAAAGGCTCTAAAATATGCATCACTTTGGGATGGTGGCATAGTGGATAGAGGAGGTTTTTTTATTTATTTATTGGTATCACCCCAAGCAAGGTTACTAGCATGCAAGGGTTTGGAGGAATTAGGAACAGAAACATTGGTAATGTGTAGAAAGAGAAAGCAATCAGGACAGTAGATAGTGATTGATATTGCATTTAAATTTTTGCAGATTAAAGTTGGCTGGAAAGCATGGAGCCAGGAGTTCCACAAGAAAGAAGTGCAAGATAATAAACTAGCTATCTCAACTGTAAATTGATGAGGTCTCTCTGCCAGTCTAGTATTGCACATACAGTCTAGGTACCATAGTGAAGAGCTCATGCAGACAATTACCATGAAAATATTTATAAAAAAGGCACAGGGAGGCAGCCTTACAGCAGTGGGCATACATATGTTACTAGTGGTAATGGGTTCAATCTTTGGAATTGGTAGTAACACACCAATTCAGCAGGAACGAACAACAACTAATATCACAGATAACAAAATATCACAATAATCAACTGATATTTCATATCAACCAATGAATGGACACCTGATGATGACCAAATGGTACTTGGTTGAAATGTTGTCTATCATAACATCTATATCAACCAAGATGAGAACAATAGTTCATAATAGTACAAGAATATTAATAATACCCATTTTCTCTTGGTATAATGAAATAATAAAATCCTGAAATCTTTCGTTTTAGAAAAAAGTTAACATTTAAAAAAAAAAAAAGGTAAAGATGTACTTATTTATTAGTGATACCTTAACATTAGCACCAATTTGTGGAGAAGGAAAATTTTCTACTCCTTTAATCTTCATAGTCATTTTTGTACTTGTAAAATCTGTAATGTATTAAAATCAACTCCTTCATTTGTGGGGCCATTTGGGTGAAAATGTTACTTTTCACACAGGTTGTGTTGTCTGCTTTTAACCTGCAAATTCTCTCTAGCTTTGGTCCAACCACTTCCATTTCTGACTGCTTTGTTTATTAACTATTCAGATTAAAATATTCTGGACACTTACTAGACAAGAGTAGTGTGTTTTTATAATTTGGGTTTTATAATTTTTATTCTTTTTCATTTACCACATGAAAAACTTTATCCGCTATTTTATTTTATTAATTTCTGTAAGCAGATAAATAAAACTGTTTTTAAAAAAATTGATTAAAATAAAATCCAAAAAAAGAACAGTAAATTAACATTCGATGAGTGGCCAGGGTACAAAGCAGGTATAAACAGTTAGCCTAATTTTTCAACTTCATCATTTGATATGATTTATTAGTTTCTTCTGAATACAAACATTTTTCAGCACTCTACATTATTGGAAATTCACAAACTTTCATGAGAGTTGACTGAAAAGTAATGAATATATGTTCAATTATGTTTATCTCCAGTCCTGTGTTTGATGTATGACAGCATTGTGTAATCGTGTTCATTAATCATGAGTACTATAGCTGAGTTACAAATACAGTACTGTGATCCAATTCACAGCAATTATTGAATGAATTTTTGGTACTAGATAGTTGTACATCAATCAGAATCCACATGAAAGTAAAGCGCCTGTGGAATAAGGCCTGAGTGTAGAGCTTTTTTACATTATAACAATATTTAGAAAAATATGATAAACTGGAAAAGTTTGTGATGTGTTTCATCCATTAGGATTTCATCAGACTGGGCTTTGTTGACATTGCCACATTTTCTACTCCTTTACTCTTCATAGTCATTTTTGTACTTGTAAAATCTGTAATGTCCACAGTGCATTAAAATCAACTCCTTCATTTGTGGGGCCGTTTTGGTGAAAATGTTGCTTTTCACACAGGTTGCTTTTAACCTGCAAATTGTCTCTTGCTTTGGTCCAACCACTTCCATTTCTGACTGCTTTGTTTAACTATTTAGATTAAAATATCTACACATGCACACAAAACAAGAGACGCAGGTAGTTTCAAAATTTTTTTGAAAGATTTTTTTTTTTTTTTTTCAGTCTAGCCAAATTCATCTGTATTCTTCTTCTTTTCATCACCTTTGTCCCTGACTACCCCACACTGTGATAATAAAAAATCTACCAAGAATGGTGATATATTCTAAGAGCCTGGATGCAAATTTATCATGTCTGAACTGGCGTCCAGGCTCTTACAATTTATCAACATTCTTGGTAGAATTAATATTGTAGAATTTATGACCCATCAGATTATTAGATTACAAAGTCTTTTTTTTATTCAACTGGCCTTATTTGGGTTTGTATATTGCTTTTGGCATGAATTATATAACTTTTATTAATGTGTTCAATGTCAATATATTTTTCAGATGAGGTGCATCCTGCAAAAAAAGTTGATGACAGATTATCAGTCCATCAGCGGTTAGGATTTACTTCCAAAACAAAATTGGAAATTTCAGAAAAACCTACAGGAAAACATCAAGAAAAAAGCAGAGAAAACAGAAAAAATAAATCATCAGGTAAATTTGAATCTCCTTAATTCACCTAATATTTATCTTCTTATTTGCAATATATTTAGTCAAAGACTAAAAAGTAATTATGAAAGAAGTTAATGTGTAAATCAAAAAGAATTACCAACATATATAATTTTTAAACTCTTTCTACTAAAGTGCCACCAGTCTCAACATGAAATGGTTGATTAGGTTTGCATTGAAAAATAATGAATAATACAAAGGCTGCTGAATTTTTGTCATCATCAATGTTGAATAACAATTATTTTTGGTCTTTTTCAGATCCTTCTAAAGAGACAGAGTTAGATCAAAAAATACTACGGATTCAAGAGATGAATGCAGCTATCTTGAAGAGGCAAGCAGAAGTAAAGAAAGACAAAGAACGTTATGGCTGAGAGCATTAATAAAAAAAAAAAAAAAAAAAACATAAAAAAAATACCAATTATTCAGGGATTGAGGAACAACTCAATTCACTCTCACTTGACATTAGTGGAAACTATAACCTTTTTTTTTTTTTTTTTTTTTTTTTTTTTTCCTTTTGAACAAAGGATAATTTCATCTTTTATAATCCAGTAGTAATAAACTGCCCAGACGGACGGACACACTAAAGAAATAACTGTGCCTACTTTAACTTAGCCACTTCCTTTTACTGACTCAATCCTCCTGCTAGCATTATATGGCTTTAATGTACTTGATTAAAATAAATTCTTACAATTTTTTTCTAGGTATTAAATCTATTTATTAGGTTTTATTTTACTTTTATTACTATCTCTTTTTTTTTTATTGTCTTATTAGTGAAAATAGGGATTAGAATTGATGAATTGTACTTTTCTCTTGGCAGACTATAGGAGAATTATACCCTAGAAAGTTAATCTAATGTAAGTAAAGAAACATTTTAATGCTATGTGACTTTATTTCATTTAAATGAATTTGAATTGTTGCATTTAAAAGTTAACAGAATAGTGGAGTAACATTCATTTATAGAAAAAAAAAAATATTTATTGTGTTTAGCATAATGTGATCGTCTTTCTTGGATTTAAAAGGTGGATCTGAGTTTGTTAAAGCTGAACTTGATTATTGGTTGTCTATGGCAGTTGCTTTGCATCAGAAATTGGACACTGTATGGCAAACAAGTTTAAAAAGGATCTAAAGCTTTATATGAAAAAAGAAATGTAATAGGAAAGTTGAAAGAACTTTTTAATGAACATTTATCTGGATGTAAATATGTATACAGTTACATACATACTTACATACTTTAGTTTTTGAAGGGTGAGTCATTTTTAAAATATTTTTTCTTGGTAACAATTGAAATAAAATAAAATTCTGTATTGTACAAAACATTATTTTATAATTTGTTTTGTAATTCTGATTATTTTTTTCTATGCATGTCTATGAAAAACTCTTGCCTTATTGTTTTAAGGCTGTTTTAGTTAAGAAAAATGTTGGATCAGTTTTTTGTTGGGAATGGATTTTTTTTTACTCCTCCACTATTTTTTTTTTCTCTTGCTTTTTTTGTTATTTTGAATTCTGTTAAATTTTCTTTTTGAATTCTGAAAGAAAGATTAATCTTTTCTGCAACCTTCTTGGCAATTAAAGGTTTTATTTTTTTAGTCAATGACTACGTTTACTTTAAGTTGATATTAGGGATTGGGAAAATAACCCAAACAGTTGTAAATATTTTCAGGGTTTTCTTTTTAGAAAGTTTTCTTCTCACTCCTCATTTAATCATTCATTCATATTTTTATTGCTACAATTCATCCTTCCTCAGCCATCAAATCCACATCCATTACTTTACCCTTTGTTCACTATACAAAATACCCAATATTTCCCACATTACCAGAATTCATTCTTTTTTTTTTCCTGACATTAACATTATAGCTTACACTAAAGCTTTTTCTAAAAACTTTACCTGCCAAAATATATTTTCTTACTTTAAATTTAATTAAAAAGGACAACACCTGTAGATGTGTTGGTTTCTTCAAACTAAAATTCTTATTTTTCTATACTTCAGTTAAAATAAGATGAAAAGTGGATGTTACTCTAAGCAAAGTTGGTGTTATAATTATTCCATAAATCAAAATGTATACTTTACTCAGTTGTCTTCTCCCTCGTCATACAAGAGATTTTACTATTTGACTTTTATAATTCCAACATTGAATCCTAAATTCTACAATCTGATAGATTTTGTGTATGAAAGCCAGTTGAAATTTTTTTTTTTTTATTTATTTATTTATTTCTGGACATTGTAAGTCCTGCTATTTTGTCCCCACTGCACTTTACAAAACGGTGCAATGATGCTTTTGTATACAACAAAACATTTATTAATTTTTGCGTCATATCCCAAAACTTAGACACCAACTGAAGTCAGTTATGATTTTCAGCTGATATCATCAGAAATGTCCTTTCGTTATTCTCCAGTAAGGCAGCATTAACACAAAAACTAGAGCAAAATTTAGGCTTTTTTTGTTTTTCCTATGTCAGTGTATTTGTCAATTGATTTTTCTACAACTGAAAAACATAAGTTTATCATGTAGCTATAACCTCCATTGAATTTCAGAATATTCCCTCTCAGAATATAACCTTAGAAATATGAAAAAGACTTTTCATGGATTTCTCTGTAAATATTTTTATCTTCATTTGCTGCACCTACTTGGAAATTTTCAAACCTTTCCCAATGTTGATAGAACATTTTAGAAAACATTTTTACCATCTTTTTAGCTATTATTTAATTCATAATAATTTTTATATAAACTTTTTCATCATTATTATTATTAACAATAAGAAGCTGCTCTGTAGCAGCAACAATTTTCAGAAATAATATGGAATATTTTTAAAAATCAAACCATTGACTTAAGTTGCTTTTATTTATATTTTCTTTTTGTTTTAGACAAATTTTATTTTTCCAATTTTTAAATTTATTTTTTTCTCAATATAATTTCAATGAATTCATTATCATCGTGCAGCTAAAAAAAAATCCTCTACTTCTTTCAGCTTTAAAAAAAAATTAAAATTTGAATCCTGTTTCATTGGAAATATTTACTTTTGTAGAAAATGCCCAAAACTAAATAATTCTTTAAAAAAGGCTTTCTGGGGTTTTGTAACATTTGAGCCCATATATAAGAAACATGAAAAAATATTTTGGAGGTTCACTAATTTCACTTCTGTAGGCTTCTGACGTAAGTTTTCAAACCTTTTCTTAAATACACTGATATCATAGCATTATATTTTCCATGTTATTAGTACTAAAGATAAACAAAGTCTTGGCCCAACAAGCCGTCTGCTACCCATTCACATCAACTTGCATTATTAATATACATCATTTCCATTGAAATAGAGTCAGAAAGAAGCTTTTCATTTTGAATCAAGAAATAAAAAAGGTTTTAATAATTCACCCCCCCCCCCAATGTTTTTTAAATATGTGAAAAATGTATTTGCCACCTTCATTCAACATTCCTTTACATATTTAATAAATATAGATTGAAAAAAATTATATAAACTAATTTTAATGGTTCAATATTAAAAGAAGTGGAAATTAATTAACTTCTGATCACACAACATCCATATAAAAAATATGTAGTTTATAATAGCAGTTGTAAAATTTTTAACTAAAGATTAGACACTTTTTATTATTAAACAGCCTTTATACATTTCTTATAAATATACAAATCAGTTTTTCTTTCTGACATCCTATTTGTGTAAATTATCAATACATTCAATTTATAAGTAAATTTCTTTAAGTGTCGCCAACAAAAAGTTTATATTAATCATGATCTTATTTTTTATATATGCATATATGAAGAAAAAAAAACCTTTTCATCAAATCTCATTTCTCACTTTTGCTGTGTATGACTGGATATGTTTTCATTTTTTTTTCCTTTTCATTATAAGCATTGTTCATTGATGTTTGATGCATTTTTGTTTACCAGGTAAACAGATATATATTTTCTTATGACTGTGATTAGTGATATAAGAATGGATTATTTGAGAAGGTGATTGAAAAAGTGTGTGGATGTTTCCAAATACAGGAAAAATGGTTTATTTGTATGTGTGGCTGCTTGACAGGAGTCTCATTAAATTCAGGTTATTCCCTCTCTTCCCCCCCTCCTTTAATTTTGTTTTGCAGGAGTACATGAATGAAAATAAAGAGTTATTTTTTCAATAAATTTGACTTTTATTGTTTATTGCTGACTTTTTTTTAAAATATATATTTTAATTTATTGAGTGATTTTAATACTTTTATTGGGATTGATCCAACTTTGCCAAGGAAGATTTCCAATTCTAAGTTGTTTTCTATTACACCAACAGTGCATCCAAGGTTACAGCACCTGGTATTCCCAAGCAGTTATCTATCTAGGTACTGACCAAGCTCGACATTGCTTAACTTTGGTGATCGTACAAGAACTGGTTTCGAAATGTAATATGGCTGTAAGCTTCATGAGACATCAAAAACAAAGAACAGTGGAACTACCTAACAAGTTGATGTGAATGGATAGCAGAATGGAGTGGGAGGAATAGTAAAAAGACAAGCATTGCTAAGAGTTTCACAGGATGGGATCTTGTGGAGAGCCATGATCGCCCATGTCATGAAGAGACATGGCAGAAGATTTATCCTTGTGTGAGATTGCTACAACATAGACTGGTGGTCCTGCTATATTAGAGATTCTTGATAAAATCCAAAGAATCTGCAGTGTCATTGATCCTGACATCTTGGCTTCAATCACTTTCCCACCACCGTAATGTAGCTTCCCTATAAATACTTTCATGGTAATTGTTCAAATAAACTTTCCTCTATGGTACCTAGACTATGAACTAGTACTAGTTTGGCAGCAAGATCTCATCATTTCACAGTTGAAAAAAAAGAAATATCGGATCATATTTACAATGGAAACACTGAACATGGAATTCTTGAAGGGCTTCAGTCTAATAATGTTCTGTTATCATAGTAGTATTAGTAGAAGTAAAAAATAAAAAATAAATGGCAATATCATGACACGAATAGTCAAAGATGATCTTGATCTGCAAAAAGCTGAGATGCTCAACTTACAAAGTTATTTACATGCTTCATTGGAGTCTAACTGATAACTAATGTAATTGTTTCCCATTATACAAGTGACTGGTATTCTAACTCAAATGGAAGTACAAGGTGCAATGGATGAATTGTCATCTAAATTATGTAAAATTTAAAATAACACTGACATCTCATTTTAACATATATTTACCAAAACTGCACAAAAATATCTTGAAATACTAAAGAGTAAATGTCTTCAATAAAATACCCATTGGCTTCAACCATGTCCTCCAGACAACTTTAGAATCTCCTGCATCTCTTCTGCAGAGTCTCCTTGTTTAAGTTGGTGAATGCTGCCATAATCTTTGCCTTTATTTCATATTTGGT